TATATAGGTGGAGAAACACACGTAGGGAGTGAAACGTGGTGGGTTAATGGTTGGTCACAATTTTCCAAGTACTTTTGTGGCTCAAATTTGTGATTTAAAAACGATGCATGTTTCTTATTGTTGTAGTGTCGGTTCATCTTTTGATATTTACTATGTTTCGTAAAAATTATTAAAATGGTTTTTCAGTTTAACATAGGATGGAACTTTAACGTAAAAGTAAGTAATACATGTATCGATTTAAGTATAGTTCAACTAGTTAAGACACCATAGGATGAAATGTTAATGTCAAAGTAAGTAATATATGTATCAATTTAAGTATAACTAAACTATTTAAGGCACCTAGTCATGGTGAATTCGAATCTCCACCTTCACATATTCTACTGAAAACGGTAAATAATAGGTTTAGAGATTGAGTTATAACTTATGTTTTAAAGCCTCTTAATTTCTGTTTTGCACAAAAATAAAATAGATTAATATTTCGAGAGAAGAAACCACTGTATTATTATCTTAAGAATAAAATATTTTGTTCTCCGGTATATTTACAAAAAAAAAATAATAATAAATAACCTAACCAACTAACTGAACTCAACTAAAAAATACTTAACCTTGGTTATTTACAAACTAACTACAACTGATATGTAGGTTATTTACAAATTAATTACCACTGATATCGCTAATACCCCCTCAAGGTGGCGTGTGAAGGTTACAAACACCTAGCTTGAACAAAACATCTCATAAAACAGAAGATGACACAACCTTAGTGAAAATGTCAGTCAACTGAGAAGTAGATCGAACAGGGAGAAGCTTCAAAGACCAGAAACAATACGATCACGAACAAAGTGACAATCAATCTCGACGTGCTTCGTCCGTTCATGAAAAGTCGGATTGGAAGCAATAGATACAGCAGCCTGATTATCACAATAAACCAAAGAGAGATGAAGCGGGTGGAGTTGCAAATGAATAAGAAGATGTTCCACCCAAATTAATTTACTAGAAACAATAGCAAGAGCACGATATTCGACCTCAGCGGAAGAACGAGAAATCATTGCCGGCTTCTTAGATTTCAATGAAATCAAAGAATCTCCCAAAAAAAATACAAAAACATGTCACCGATCGACAAGTATCCAAACAAGCACCCTAATTAGCATCAACAAAGGCCTTAAGTTGAAAAGAATAAGATGCCCGTAAAAGTATACCTTGGCCAATGGGTCCCTTTCAGATAACGTAACAGAAAATGCACTGCCTACAAGTGACCCATGTACGGTCATCGGATGAACTGACTCAAAGTTATGGATTGAGAAAGAAATATCATGACGAGATATTTGAAGATAAAGCAAATGGCCAACCAAACGCCTATAGGTAGTAACATCATCGGGCGATAAAGGCACACCAGAAGAAGTAGAAAGCTTGAGATTGGGCACCATAGGGACAATTGCAGGATTGGCACCAAGGAAACAGAGTCTTCAAATATTTGAGAGCAGTACTTTCTTTGCGATAAATAGATACCTTGAGAAGTACGAGATAATTCCATCCCAAGAAAGTACTTTGCATGACCCAAATCTTTTAGCTGAAAATGAGAACTTAAAGAGCCTTGACAGAAGTAAGAACATCAGGAGAAGGCCGAGTCAACAAAATGTCATCAACATAAACAACTAAAGCCACAAATGAAGAACCAGACCCATGAGTAAAGAGAGAATAGTATGCCTTAGATTGAGAGAACCTAAAAGCTAAAAGAGCTGAAGAAAACTTCAAAAACCACCGTCGAGATGCTTGTTTAAGAGCATAAATAGATTTATTCAACCGACAAACCATAGGCGAAGAAGTAGAAGACGCATAATAAGAGTAATAACCCAATGGTAAAGACATGTAGACTTCTTCAAACAAATCCCCATTTAAAAAAGCATTATTGACATCCATTTAAATCAAAGCCCAAGTAAAAAAGGCAGAAAAAGTTAAAAGAACCTTCACAGTAACAATCTTGGCTACAGGAGAAAATGTATCTAGAAAATCAATACCTTCCAACTAATTATAACCCTTAGCAACAAGGCGAGCCTTGTAGCGATCAACCGAACCATCTGCGTTATATTTTACTCGATACATTCATTTGCAACCAATGGCGTGATGATTAGGGGGAAGAGGAATCAAGCTCCAAGTACTGGTGCGTTCTATAGCTGCAATTTCATCATCCATAGCCTGTTTCCAATGATCAAATCGAATAGTTTGATGAAAAAATTGTGGCTCAAATGTAGTATAAATAGAGAGCAGGAAATGACGATGATTAGTTGAAAAACCATAAGACAAAATGCGGTCAAGAGGATGAGCTATAGAAGACATCAAAGTAGGTGAGATGTGTAAAAGATTACAATGGTAATCCTTTAAAAAAGTAGGAGGGAGACGTTGCCTCTGAGACCGACGAAGAACTATTGGATTATAGGTTGGAGTAGGAGCAGATAAAGGAGGAGGCTCCAATCTATTGGATAAAGGTCGATTATGTGTAGCAGCATCAACATTATGCATGGAAACATCATATACTGTAGGTAAAGCAGCTCTAGTATCATTATTAAAGGTACCATAGTAACATCAATAGTAGAAGGATCCTGATTAATACTGCAATAGGGTCCTGAAAATCATCAGAAAGTGCCTTATTAATAGCAGCAGTAGAATCCCGAAAATCAATAGAACCATGAAATCATTGTGCAGCACTATTATTGTCATAGCCTACTAAAAGAGGGACAGCAGATGGGCTATGTAATGGGCAGCCATAGGAGAAAAGGTTGGACTAGAATGCTCATGAAGTGATATGTCAAACAGCACATGGAAGGACTGTTTCAGCAAAAATATCATCAACAAGAACATCAAGATGAGAGGAAATGGTGTAAAAAGTGAATAATTCTTCATGAAAGACAACATCCCTAGAGATAAAGTTGTGTTTCTTTTTAATATCATATAATTTTTATCCCTTAACTCTTAGTGGGTACCCAAGGAAAATACAAGGAGTAGCCCGAGGGTCAAACTTTTGCAGATGAGAATCCAATGTGGATGCATAGCAAAGACAACAAAAAAAAAACTCTGCAAGAAAGAATAATGAACAGGTTGTTGATGTAAAATAGTGAATGGAGCAACATGTGATAGTAAAGACATAGGGGTTCGATTGATAAGATAAGACGCAGTCCCCCCAAAAACTAAGAGGAACCCGATATGAAAAAACAATGCAGGTGCAACATTCAACAAATGTTAATGTTTACACTGAAGCACTGAATTTTGTTGAGGACGCTCAACGCAAGAAAATTGATGCAAAGTACCACATGATGCAAAAAAATCAGTGAACCGCAACTTAGGTGCATTATCTGATCTAAACACTTTAATAGTCTTGGAAATTTGAGTCTTGACAAGTTTAAAGAAACGAGGGACAATATTCAAAGCATCAGACTTGTGCTTTATGAGATATACCCAAGTGAAACGTGAGCAGTCATGATATGAACCAAGATGCATTAGCCTTGTCGCTAGGACCAATCACTCGTTCAAGGGCCAAACAGTTACAACTAGCATTTGATTCTCACATCCAAGCAGTAGTGAGCTCCACTAATGGACAT